TACAGCCGCCGATTTCTTGAATGTTCTTCTTCTTTTGGTTTTCTGACCTGTTGTTTCTTAACGCTGCACAATCAGCCCGGCAGCTGAGGAGGCGTGGCTTCGGCGGTCAGTGTTGGAGGGAAGTTCAGTGATTGGTTGGAAATCTTACAGGCTCTAAACCAATGGGCGACTCGCACGCTCTCTTAAATACAGTAGAGCGAAGCTCACAAGCTCATTATTTCTGCTTAACGAACATAGACGCTGACACAACCAGCAATGAGCGGAAGAGGCAAAACCGGCGGCAAGGCGAGAGCGAAGGCCAAGAGTCGCTCCTCCAGCGCAGGACTGCAGTTCCCCGTCGGTCGTGTTCACAGACATCTCCGCAAAGGTAACTACGCTCAGCGCGTCGGTGCCGGAGCTCCCGTCTATCTGGCGGCTGTGCTCGAGTACCTGACCGCTGAGATCCTGGAGCTGGCTGGAAACGCCGCCAGAGACAACAAGAAGACCCGCATCATCCCCCGTCACCTGCAGCTGGCGGTGCGCAATGATGAGGAGCTGAACAAACTCCTGGGCCGAGTGACCATCGCTCAGGGCGGCGTGCTGCCCAACATCCAGGCCGTGCTGCTGCCCAAGAAGAGCGAGAAGCCCGCCAAAGCCAAGTAGACGCGTTCTAGTCTGTTTCTGGAACACAAAGGCTCTTTTAAGAGCCACCCATTTTATCTCTCGTAGAGCATTTTTCTTTTAGCTTAAATTTCATCACTAGCGTACATACCGCAAGAGCGTTTAATAAATAAATAATAAAAAAAGTGTCCATAAAGAATTAATGGACATTAGCAAACGCAGTAACAGCCAGGAGGCGAGCTGTGGTGGAGTTTATGAATGAGTGATCACATCACATCAACAAAATATGTTCTTTGGATGGTGTCTTCAGTGTATTTGTGGTTTTATACAGATGGTAAGGTAATTTTGATGATATCGGATTAATGAATAGTTCAGCTATGGAATAAAACAACGCGAGTATGAAGCCTAAATTGGTGTGCTAGCGTGAAGTGTATTTGTGGTGATGCTTGAAGTACTAAACAAGAACAAAGCAATTTGAGCGGGAAACACCACCAGCTCCGTTTGAAAACAGGAGACGCGCAGTCATTGGCTAGCAGTCAAGCTCAGACGTCACACATCAGCCAATCACAAGCCTCTGCGCCTTTATGACGTCTTAAGCTGTGGCTGTAAGATGCTTTAAAAACAGACGCGTAACACAGAGCTGCATATTCTACTCACGCAGAGCAGAGACAGAAGTAGATCTCAGCGATGGCAAGAACCAAGCAGACGGCTCGTAAGTCCACCGGCGGCAAAGCCCCGAGGAAGCAGCTCGCTACTAAAGCCGCCCGGAAGAGCGCCCCGGCCACCGGCGGCGTCAAGAAGCCCCACCGTTACAGGCCCGGGACCGTGGCTCTCCGAGAGATCCGCCGCTATCAGAAGTCCACCGAGCTGCTGATCCGCAAACTGCCTTTCCAGCGTCTGGTGCGAGAGATCGCTCAGGACTTCAAGACGGACCTGCGCTTCCAGAGCTCCGCTGTCATGGCCCTGCAGGAGGCCAGCGAGGCTTATCTGGTCGGTCTGTTTGAGGACACCAACCTGTGCGCCATCCACGCCAAGAGAGTCACCATCATGCCCAAAGACATCCAGCTGGCCCGCCGCATCCGCGGAGAGCGCGCTTAACCCGCCGCTGCAGCAGCGCAGGACCCCCAAAGGCTCTTTTCAGAGCCACACAATCACACTGAACCAGAGAGCTTCTGCTGGAACGCTGAATATACAACATGGAATGTAAGGTTGCCCTCGAATGTTTAGTGAATTTTAAGTTTTTATTCTGCGTTTTATGAATCCCTCATTATTACTAGAAACATTAAAGGGGTCATATGATGCGATTTCAATTGTTCCTTTTTCTTTGGAGTGTTACAAGCTCTTGGTGCATAAAGAAGATCTGTAAATTTGCGAAGACTAAAGTCTCAAATCCAAAGAGATATTCTTTATAAAAGTTAAGACCTTTAACCATGTTTCAAACCCATGTGCTTTGCTCTGCTGGATATCTGGATGAACGATAAGCTCGTGCTTCAGATATGCCTTCATTGCTGATGTTCTGCAGAGTCCAGATCTGTCCCGGTTTTATTACAGTTCGTTTCTAGACTCGCCTTAAACTCCTAGACTTGCTCTGACAGGCCAGCAATCCTCCTGTTGAAGAATCAGCTGATTTCTACACAAGTCTGAAGCTTAACATGTTAAAAGCGACATACTCCTCTGCTGCTGTTCGGCCCAGAGATCTCCTGAAGCATAAACCTCCACAAAGTACAACTAAAGTCTGCAATGTTGCAATTTACAGTAGATTAGACTGTTCTTAGCTCAAGCTTCAAATATTATACTTCAGGCAGGATTCTTCAGATTATTGTTTGATTGAAAACCTTCCACAAGTTCAGAAAAACACTGCAGCAGCTTCTCAGCCGGCGGGGTTTGATCTGTGCTTCATACATGTAAACATGATGCAGGTGATCTTATAAATCTGTGTCAGACTGATGTTTTAAACATGGGTTTTAATATGAAACACGGGACAGACATCGTTAGATCAGGTTTGGATGAAACCTCATTGTGTCCTGCTCTAGCTAGCGGGGGAGGGGCGCCGTGTGACGCGCGCTGGTTTCCCTTAGGTCCTGTAAGCAGCTGTAAACGGCCTCCTGGAGCTCTCGTGTGTTATTCGTGTTCGTCGCCGGACTGAAGCGAGCAGCATCTGCAGCATGTCTGGAAGAGGCAAAGGCGGGAAAGGACTCGGGAAAGGCGGCGCTAAGCGGCACCGTAAAGTGCTGCGGGATAACATCCAGGGCATCACCAAACCCGCTATCCGTCGTCTGGCGCGCCGCGGCGGCGTCAAGCGCATCTCCGGGCTGATCTACGAGGAGACCCGCGGTGTGCTGAAGGTGTTCCTGGAGAACGTGATCCGCGACGCCGTCACCTACACCGAGCACGCCAAGAGAAAGACCGTCACCGCCATGGACGTGGTGTACGCGCTGAAGCGCCAGGGACGCACCTTGTACGGCTTCGGAGGATAACCGCCTTCCAGCGCGAACCCAACGGCTCTTTTAAGAGCCACACACGCGCTCACTGAAAGAGAATTAATGCTGTCAGATCGTTAACGTTTCTCTTTCTCCAAATTATCTCAATTGGTTTATAAGGGGATTAGAAATTGCACACTGATACTGATTCTGTGTGATATTTAAAACGGATTTGTTTTCTTGTGAGCGGGAATTGAAACAAAGAAAACCGTTAGGTGGGCGTTCAAACACTGGGCGGGGCTATCATTTCACCGCCTGTGATTGGCCCTCGTTCCGCTCGTGCTACTTCGAGTTGTCCAATCACAGACGGGTTTAGTTCAGTCTGTGAAAACACGCAATCAGAAGCGTCCACATCTCTTTGATAATTAGCATAGATTCGTGAATAAACGCCTCTGTCTCGCTCAGGCTGGTCCTCGTCTCGTGAGGCTAGGTCCCGCAGCAGCAGCACGCCTGAAGCAGCGAGGTGCGCGTCTAAGAAAGCAGGTTGTTCCAGGTTCTATAGTTTATAGGAATATTATGTCCTTTAGTTTGGTTAAAATAAGTGTTTGGTTCAGATTTATGGTCTGTGTGCAACTGGTTTCGTGCGGTTAGTGTCCAGAAGGGTTCAGCCTTCACCACAAGCTGCTTCATAGCGTTACTGTAGATGTTTAGCAGCTCATGTTGACGCAGCAGTTGAAGTTTCTCCAAAGCTAGAGATGCGCGGTGTGTGTGAGTCGCCCTCTGCCGGCAGTGGAGCCTCACTGCAGCTCGCCTGTGTTTCTGGATGTTAGATCCACACAGCAAGGCTTTAACTGACACAACACATGTTTGTTTATTTCTCAAGTAAACAGCTGCATAGGGCTGATAAACAGTCGAAAGATAAAACTCTAAGAAGTTTATATACTGCATCCAGAAGCACATAATCTGCTGTAAATGTGCTTCTCGGTTCATCAGAGATCAGGATGAGTGTGTTTCTTCATCAGGTTTGTAGAAATGTAGCACTGCATCAGTGTCTCAGCAATGGATGCTCTGCAGTGAATGGGTGCCGTCAGAATGAGAGTCCAAGCAGCTGATAAACACATCACAATAATCCACAGCACTCCAGTCCATCAGTGAACATCTGGAGAAGACAAAAGCTGAGACACATCCAGCATTCAGACGCTTTTACCTTCATGTTTGAGCTTGAAGTGCACACTGAATGTCAACTCGATATCATAATCATAAGCTGTCGGTCCCTGTATTTTATCTTGTGTTGTTCAAGTTGAAGAAACATACGTTAATTTAATTAAACTGTTTTTTTTCTGGTTCAAGAGAAACAAAACATCTGCGAGTTAAACACCTGCATACGCATTAGAAAAGTCATATTCAGCATAAAAGACTGCATTTAAGGATTCATATCATGCAGACACTTATGATTATATGATAATAATAACGTTATGGTTATAATATTTTGATTGAATGGTTAATATAAATGTATATATGTTTCTGGCTCATTCTGTTCACTGAAAGGGGTGTGTGTGTATCTAACGATATATATATATATATAATTTACAAATCCAGTGTAAAATCACATTAAAAAAATGTCAATGTACATAACACCCCCAAAACATTTTTTGAAGGTTTTTTCCACAGAACAGCAATTTATCGGTGTTCTCTCTCTCTCTCTCTATATATATGTATGTGTATATAACATTAATAATGTAATATTTCATTAGATTGGTTGCGACAGGATCGATGCTAGCAAAGCGCAGTGCATACTACTACTACTGACCACATCTGCTTCCGCTCATCAAAGTAGTTCTGCTCAGTTTAGTGTTTTATTACGCATTTATTCCCACAGTATCGTTTCATAAAGTGATATAATAATATAATAATATGCTAATATTTAACTTACAAAAATGAAGAGTTTAAATATTGGAGCTCAAGGAATTCCCGCCCTGGCGCAAGGATACGTTCTCCTCTAAGCACTCAGTGCGGCTGCGCGCGAAGAGTCTCGACCGTCGGATCTGCGTTCAGTCCTCGGTGTGAGGTGAAAATAAGCAGGTGAGTTAAAGTCATTTACATGGTTTATAATTTGGTTATGCTACTTCTACTATATTTGAGTCCTAGCATTTAGAATGTTTACCTCTTTGAATCGTTAAACCAGTGTGTGTTGCAAACTGCGGCGCTGACCGTTACCGTTACCGTTACCGTTAGTCATTTAAAATCTTCAAAAAGTGTCACATTTAGGTTTCAGTTGATGTTACCGTGTGGTTTTTCTTTCTTTTTGTTAGATTTTATCCGAATCTTACTACATCATTTAGTAGTTTTAGGTGTCGTTACCAAGTAGGCTAGCTGCTAGATTGTCGCTGAGGGGACACCGGTGCTCCGTGAATTCAGTTTCCCTGTCCCCCTCACAGCGCCTGCGCAACTTCACGGTGTTGCCAAGTCCGCGGTTTTCCAGCGCTAGTTTTTAGCAGCAATTGGGCGTTTCTTTTTTATGTATCCTGGCAACCCTGAAACTTCAGTACTACAATCATGACGTCATGATCTCGCCCGGGCTAAGCAAGTCAGCTTATGGTGGGTTTGCTGTCTTTCTGCAAGCAACGGTAATTTCAGCATGTTAATTAGATCATTTGTAATTAAATAGGTATTCATGTACATGACGTCCTGTTCAATCGCTACATAGAGTCAGATTTCCTGCTAATTCTAACCTTTTCCTGTTTTATGAAGTGTAACA